AAAAAAAAAAAAAAAAAAAGGGAAAGTAAGTTATTTAGGAAATAAGTGCCCGTGTCTGCTAATCCTTTCTCTTAGCAACTCTGGTAACGGATTTAACAGATAAAGGATGATTAGCCAGGTTATTCTAAAATAGTTAGAAGAGTTAATGAGGCCGCAGCTCAATTAATGGCAGGTTTTTGAAGACAACCATTTAGGGTGAGCTGCTAAAGTTTCTACCAGAAAGCTTACCACATCGAGAAAGCTTACAATCTGCGGGGCAACAAAAGTTATGGACACATTTTTCATGTCCAGATGCATGAAGGCCCTTATTTGATTTTCCTTTGCTGGCCGTGGCTGCAGGAAAAGGTAGATTCGATGTTCGGAAGAACTTCCCGCAGACCACAGCCTAAATACAGTCAAAGCACGTTCTAGAAGAGAAAGGCAGACAGTTCTCTTTATGAGACGTCTGAGGGGCCGCTCAGTGGAGGATCCTCCAGCCCCGTGAGTCCAGGAGCCTGTGCACGACAGCTTTCTCTCAAATACATCCTGCCATCTGCCTCCAGGGGCTGCGGAGACCTGGTTGTGCTGAAATCGCGTTACATATTTACCTTACGAATCCTGTCTGTAAATTTCTCTGTCTCCTCTTGATGCAGTCTGGCCGCCTGTGCAAGCTGACCCTGCAGCTCTTCTAGCGATACACTCTGTTCAGGTAAAACAGGGGGGCCCCTGAGCTGATCGGTGGGATAAAGGAAGGGGTTTAGTGGACGCGAGGACTCTGCCTGACGTGAAGACGCAGGACACACATCTGCACAAACCGGGGACACACACGGAGCGACACAGCACGTGCGGGCGCTGCAGCAGGGGAGTGAGTCTGGGGCAGCTCCCCCAAGATCCTGCCCTGGGCTCTTGTGTCGTCTGTGACGGAAGCCGGGACGCCCTCATCTCTCTCCTGGGAGACAGGTGCATCGCGGTGCCTGTGACCCGAACTTCAACCACCATGGTACCCACCAACCAGGCTGAGACCCAATTAGTCTCTGCTACCACAGCGGCTTTTCAAAATGCCGGGGCGGTCAGAGCTGGCAACTCTGATCGAGTCAAACGTGACCACCTCACATGAGTCGGTCTCTGAGATTCACTGCCCGGGTTCGTTCTAAGCTGCATAATTAATTTGCTCATACGCTTTGTTAGTAGAGATTTTTGTGCTCAGTCCAGAATGCCTTTTTCTTTCCTGGGCAGCGGTAGGCTGGATGCTCAGGATAACTGGGGTGGGGGTGCCCAGAAACACCGTCTCAGCCTTTTCAGTTGCACACAGTGCCTACAAGGAACTGCACAAAGTTCTGCTTATTACATTTTAGGTTAAAAATAGTCAAAGGAATCGTTTTTTTTTTCATGCTTCTCATTGGTAATGTCTACCTACTGGTACAGCCTATCTTTTGTGTCCAAATGGCAACGATAGAGAAATCAAAGCTACGATTTTTGAAAGAAACTGTATTTTTTTTTTTTTTTAGAGATGGAAACAGTTACATTAAAATCAGTGGGGGGGTTAGCTATGATCTTGTATTAACCTGGGTTGACCATGTGCCTCCAGATGGTGTGTGTGTGTGTGTGTGTGTGTGTGTGTGCGCGGAAGCCAGCAACAGAACATAAACTTTCCTTTCCTTGGGGATTCCTAGGCCACTGGGTGACAATCAGTTCAAAGCCTAATCTTGGCGAGGCTGGCTCTCATTATGGTTATGTGAGGGAGACTTCATGCTGGTCGATAAGCTTCCCTCTACCAGCAGGCAGATGTCTCTCCAATTGAGACTTACACAATGTGCAGCCCTTTGGAGCCCTGGTTCATTGCTTTCTCTGCCTGTGTTGGACCCAAGGCCCTGTGTCCTGTCCCCATGCAGCTATTAAAACCCAAGACTCTGGCTTACCAATCAATTCTGGCAACTATCCCCCTAACAAGCTCACCCAAAAGCCAGAGACTGCTCTAATGTTCTCTTCCGAAATCAGTTCCACCCCTTGAAGATTTCCCCAAATTTCTTGGGAATTCAGCTACATATTTAAAATGGCATTTTATTCTTTATGCAGCACTTAAAATTTTTTTTTAACGTTTATTTAAAA